GCAGCTGACCAAAGTTCTGGAAATTGCAGTTTAGCCCCTGTTCTTCCGGAAAGTGCAATTTGGCCCCCTGTTTTTCAGAAAAATTGCAATTTTGGTCCTGTTTTTCAGAAAAATTTCAATTTAGCCCCAATTTTACTTCTGTAAAAGTTCTGTTTGCCCCCTGAACTTCTGAAAAGTTCATATTGGTCCCCGTACTTCAAAAAAAAAATTATATATATTCTTACTCGTGTATGCCCAAGTATATGCCAAGAATGACTACACCAACCTCGTCATCTTCTCAAGCCGGAGTTGAAAGTTTTCAAAGGACCGGGAAAGACGGTAGCGTTACGTTACACTATCCAATGCTCACGAAGATGAACTACGCGGTGTGGGCCATAAAAATGCGAGTGAATTTACAAGCACAAGGAGTATGGGATGTAATTAAAAATGCAGAAACGGACGAACGTAAAGATCGGATGGCTCTTGCGGCTATTTATCAAGCAATTCCAGAGGACGTACTTCTAATGTTAGCTGAGAAGGACACATCTAAAGAAGCATGGGAAACGCTCAAGATGATGCACATGGGAGCCGATCGGGTCAAGGAGGCTAAAGCTCAAACCTTGAGAAGTGACTTCGAGGTGATCCGGATGAAAGACAGTGAATTGGTAGATGATTTTTCCATGAGATTGAATACTATCGTAACCGGTATTCGATCTCTAGGTGAAAAGATTGAAGAAATTACGGTTGTGAAGAAGTTTTTGCGAGCCGTACCGATACGATTTATACAAATCGTAACATCGATCGAGCAATTCGGAGATTTGAAGAATATGACGGTGGAAGAAGTTGTGGGTCGTCTTAAGACCCATGAAGAGAGACTTCGAAGCTATGGAGAAAAAGAAGAAGGACCTTCTCTATTGCTTACACATGCCGAGTGGGCATCTCGTTCGAAGCAAACTGGCGAGAGAAACTCGTCAAACACTTCAAGAGGACGAGGAGGACATGGTAACCGAGGCCGGGGACGAGGCCGAGGTCCTGGACGTAGCCAAGGAGGTGGTCGCGAGTACAATACAAATCGGAATGACCATAATCCTTCTCGAAAGGATAAAAGTAAAATCAAATGCTTTACTTGTGAACAATTTGGTCATTATGTTTCGGAGTGTCCAAACAAGAATCGAGGTGAGGAGGCAAACCTCACTCAAGCCAACGAAGAAGAGCCTATTTTAATGATGGCAACCTCACAAGAATATGCACACAAAAAAGTGTCTCTAAGAGAGAAGATTTGTGTTAATCTTCTTGCATCGGGAGAAAGTCGAGTCGAGTCTGAGGTATGGTATCTCGACAACGGTGCTAGCAATCACATGACTGGAGACCGCTCAAAGTTTCGCGAACTAGATGAGCACATATTACGGGCCATGTGAAATTTGGGGATGGTTCGACCGTCGCTATTTTGGGAAAAGGGTCGATTTTATTCGATAGCAAAAATGGCGACCAAAGACTCCTTAATGAGGTATATTTCATTCCAAGTCTAGAAAACAATATTATTAGTCTTGGACAAATGACGGAGGAAGGGAGTCGGGTTATAATGGATGGGTCGGATCTGACATTGTTTGACAGAAACAAAACTCTACTTTTGAGAGTTAAACGATCCCCAAACCGGTTATATAAAACTCCTTTAAGGACCGGTAGACCGACTTGTCTTTTAGCAACAAAAGACGAACCAGCTTGGATATGGCATTCTATGCTCGGTCATGTTAACTTTCTCGCCTTAAAGAAGTTGTCCGAAAAGAATATGGCAATCGGAGTCCCAAAGATTGAGCACCCAAACCAAGTATGTGAAGGGTGCGTTCTTTCCAAACAAACCCGAATTCCTTTCCCGGATCATGCAGTTTTTCGGGCTCAAAAACCTCTACAACTTGTTCATGCGGACTTATGTGGTCCGATCACACCTACGTCTGTTGGAGGGAGTAAATATTTTCTCCTTTTAGTAGACGATTTTAGCCGGTGGATGTGGGTTTACATGCTATCGGAGAAGTCTCAAGCCTTGAGCACTTTCAAACGGTTCAAGTTGATGGTTGAAAAGAATTCGGGTTATAAAATAAAGACACTTCGAACGGACCGAGGGGGAGAGTTCACTTCAAAAGAATTCTCATTATTTTGTGAAGAAAATGGTATTCAAAGGCATCTTACGACACCATATTCGCCTCAACAGAACGGAGTTGTAGAAAGGCGAAATCGGACCGTTATGGACATGACAAGAAGTCTGCTCAAAGGTAGAAATGTTCCGGGAGAGTTTTGGGGAGAAGCGGTTAGACATGCAGTTTATCTTCTCAACCGCCTGCCAACAAAAGTACTTCCCGACAAGACGCCTTATGAAACGTGGTTTGGCAAAAAGCCCAACCTTGAACATCTACAAGTTTTTGGTTGTGTTGCTTTTGCTAAACTTGTAGGTGGTCACTTGAAGAAGCTTGATGATCGAAGTAAGAAGATGGTGTATTTAGGTGTGGAAGATGGAACTAAAGGCAACCGTTTGTTTGATCCGCAAGACCGAAAGTTGCGAGTTAGTCGCGATGTTGTTTTTGACGAAAAAGAAGAATGGAATTGGTACAAAAACAAAGAAGAAGAGATGGGACTCCTAAGACCTTTAACATAATTGAACCACAACCCCAAATACACCTCGAAACACCTCAAAATGACCCCGAAATCAATCTGGAACAACCAAACAGTCCAGGAATCGATGCTATCCAAGTTGGACAACCATATGCTGAATTTGACGAGCCTGAACCAGCTCCACATACTCCTATCTCAGCCCCATTTTCTTCAACCTCGCCCCATATGGAAAGCCCTTCTAGTGAGATTGGGCCAAGGGGATTGCGTCCGTTAACCGATATTTATTCTGAAACCGAAAATGTGTTCCTTGAACCCGGAGAATTGTTGATGATTGCAGCGGATCAACCCTTGAATTTTAAAGAGGCGGTAACCTCTAAGGCATGGCAGGAGGCTATGTAAACAGAGTTGGATGCAATCGAGAAGAACAAGACATGGCAACTTACCGATTTGCCATCCGGACACAAAGCAATCAGTTTGAAATGGGTGTTTAAAGTGAAGAAAGACAACTTGGGAAAAGTGGTGAAGCATAAAGCTCGACTTGTAGCAAAAGGATTTGTACAAAAGGAAGGAGTCGACTTTGATGAAGTTTTTGCACCGGTAGCACGACTTGACACCGTAAGGCTCATTCTTGCCTTAGCAGCTCAACATGGGTGGGTTGTCCACCATCTCGATGTCAAATCGGCTTTTCTCAATTGAGATCTCAAAGAGGAGATTTATGTCACCCAACCAGAAGGATATGTTGATAAAGCAAACAGTCACAAGGTGTTCAAGCTTTATAAAGCTCTTTATGGTCTACGGCAAGCTCCTCGAGCTTGGAACATTCGTTTGGATAAAAGCTTAAAAAGGCTTGGTTTTACAAAAAGTTCACAAGACCCAGCTGTTTACAAAAGGAACTCAAAAGACAAAATTCTTATTGTTGGTGTCTATGTTGATGACTTGATCATTACCGGGTCGAACACTAATGATGTTGTCGAATTCAAAGAACAAATGAAGAAAGAATTCGAAATGAGTGACTTGGGATTACTTTCTTACTACCTTGGAATCGAAGTTTCGCAAAAGAAGTGGGGAATATCTTTGCGACAAACGGCTTATGAAAAGAAGATTTTAGAGCAATTTGGGTTGCTGGATTGCAATCGGACAACGTCACCAATGGAACCTAAGTTGAAGGTTAAGAAGGATGAAGATGGTGAAAAAGTTGATCCAACTGAATATAGGCGAGTGGTAGGTTGTTTGAGGTACTTGACTCACACTCGACCAGACCTGTCATTTTTGGTTGGAATTGCAAGTCGTTTCATGGAGGAACCAACCACTTTGCATTTCCAAGTTGTGAAACACATCTTGCGATACGTAAAAGGAACTGTTGATTATGGAATCAACTATGGAAGAGGTCGTGAAATTGAAGATTTGGTTGGTTTTACCGATAGTGATCTTGGAGGTGACCCTGTTGATAGCAAGAGCACAAGTGGAATGATTTTCTATCTGGGAAGGAATGCGATAACTTGGCAATCCCAAAAGCAAAAGACTGTTGCTTTGTCCACGTGTGAAGCCGAGTTCATGGCAGCTACAACAGCAGCATGTCAAGCCATTTGGCTTGCTAATCTCGTGAAGGAGCTCACGGGACATCATATTATGCCTATCACCTTATATGTCGATAACAAGTCAGCAATCGCATTGATGAAAAATCCTATGTTTCATGGTCGAAGCAAACACATTGACATTCGTTATCACTTCATACGAGAATGTTGTTGAACGTGGGCAAATTATAGTGGAATATGTCAACTCGAAGGATCAACGGGCGGACATCTTTACAAAGGCTTTAGCATACGTGAAACATAGTGAAATGCGAAACATGATCGGCATGACGAATCTCTAGCCAAGTTCGGTTTAAGGGGGAGAATGTGAGTGTAAACCAGACTTGGTGTGAACCTGACATCAGTAGCTGCACCTCTATCTATGTTGACAATAAGAACTCAAATGGCAACTTCGTATGTTCACATAATGAACACAATAAATGGTAGCAGTAGTAATTGTAGGCTTGTTTAAGTATAAATAGAGGCTCTAACCTCAGTTGTAAGACACCACAAACAGAGAGTGTAGTGTGTAATACTTAGAGTGAGTATTAGAGGGTTGTTTCTTTTTCTTGTAATATTGAGCGTGTAAGCTCTTCTCTTTTGTTCTAGTTCTGAATAAAAGTGTGTTTCAACCCCAACAAAGTTTTGATCCTTCATAAGGGCTCTATCTTTAAATTTCATCTCCATATACCAAATATAATTCTTGATAGCTTCGAAGAAGTCGACCAATGGATCCTACTCTTATCAAGAAGAGGTGTCAGGGAACTCATTCTTGCTAATTCAAATCGTAGTTATGAACTTCCTTCTTGTGTGTTTTCTTGTCTAGAATTGAGAAGTTTGAAAATGGCAAACGGTTTCTTCAATCTACCACATGCGTTTGAAGGATTTCTCAACCTTGAAGAACTTCTTCTGCATCGTTTTGATTTTGGGGGTAGATTGTGTGGAACTAAGATCAACCTACCACGGCTTAAGACGTTGGCCCTTATTACATGCACAAATGTTTACAATTTCAACATTAAGGCTACAAAACTGCAGGATTTGATGGTCATCGATTGTCCTGATGCCATGTTGCTTAGGTTATTGGACAGTCCATGCCTTTTTTAAGGCTATGATTGCTTTCCAGAAACCCATACAAGATTTTGTTCGAGTTGAAAAAATCACTTTGGCCACATTAATGTTGAATAACTTGCCCAGTGTTAGACAATTTTGTATCGACAGTCATTTTCTTAAGGTAAACTTTTTATGCTCTTTCTTAAGAGGTCCTACATTTCTCGTCTATTGTAATTCTCATGTTTATTGGGTGATTTAAACACTAACTTTCATCTCACAGTTTTTTATCGCCGAAAAAATTCCAAAGTTGCTTCCACATGCAATTTATAGTTTAAAGTGTCTGCGGTTGTCCCATTATCAACTTGCTGATTTGCATCAACTTCACGGTGCTCTTTGTTTGCTTCGGAACTCACCAAATCTTGAAACCTTGAGTTTATTCATGACAATGGTAAATTAAAGAAAGAATTATAAAACTACAACTTTTTGGGTTATATTATACAAGAATTAGATGCTAAATTGTGGTTGCATTTTGTGTATTTTTTAGGTTCCTCGAGTTGATGTGGGTCCAGCTTCAAATCATTTGGAATCCCCAAATTGTTTGGATTGTACATTGAACCGATTGCAAACCGTAGAGATAACATATTTAGATGGATCAAAACCGGAACAGCTATTTATAAAGCTTCTTCTTGCTCATTCCCCTTCTCTTGACAAGTTGACCATTACACCAAGTGAGCAAACTGATGCTCAAAAAAGATTTGACATTGCTACAGATGTAATGCAGTTCCCTCGAGCCTCACCAAAAGCAAAGATATTCTACTTGAATCCCAAGCCATAATCATGTACGTATGAATGTTCAACCACATTGCAATTTTTTGGGGGTGGCATTACTGATAGAAGTATCGATTATGATGGACTCTTTTGCATTTACATTAACAAAATATGTACAAATTGCCCTTTTTTGTATTTATTTTTAAAGCACATGATCAAGTACAATTTAAAAGTAGATGAACAACAATTCAACATTGATTTATGAAAATGTAGACAGATACCTACAACCGAAATCAATTCTTCCATGGAAGTTTTTGTGTCCGCTACTGCACTAGGGTCTAGCGTTCAACGATATGATCGTGCAGGTCGTAATGGTAGTATGATTAAGATTATGATTAACTTTAGTAACACAAATCTACCATAATTTAGAAATACTAGTAATGTCTTACAGTTGTTCACGATGAATTTCATATTTTGAAAACAATTCATAAATATATTTTCTTATACTGTCTAAAAATTCTTTTTTTTTTCAATGTACAACACTAAACACGCTAAACAATTATTCATAAATTGATCAAAAATGATAACACGATAAAGAATTTATTTCCTATTTCTTAAAAAAATTAACATCATATTTGTTTAGTTTGGTTTACAAAAACATTAATTTGTATTTGTAAACCGAAGTAAATAGATAACCGAACTATAAAGAACATTGTATTCAAATAATAAAAATATATTGCAAGTATTATATACAAAAAATAAAAATATATAGTATTAAAAAAAGTGATGTTGTCCTTGTAGATAAACAATGAAGAAAAAAGAACTACATAGGATAGGACATGTTTTTTAGACAAAACTACATAAATGGTTTCTATGATTTATCAAAGCTCATAACTTCAGTCTCTCTTAAATGTTGTTTTGATGAATATGGTCAATGGTTTCTAAACTTTGCATTGTTGGTTTCTAAAACTTGTATTGTTGAATATGTCATTCTATTCTTTTTAACTTACTTTAATGAAAAATAAATTAAACTAAAATATGTTTTCATACCCCTTCTCTCTTCGTAGAACACACCAAACCTCTCTCTCTCTCTCTCTCCTCTCTCTCTCTCTATCTCTCTCCAATTAAAATAAAAATATATTGTTGAATATGTCATTCTATGCCTTTTGTTCATCATAAAAAAATAAGTCAAAAACTAAAGAGAATTAATCTTTGTGTTCAGTCGTTTCTAATGTAATTCTCAATTAAACTCGCAACATTTCAAATTAAAAGTAATATAACATTGTTAAGATACGATTGATAGAACTTGGTGTCTCGTTTTTGTTGTATTTAACATAATCAAAACCAATTGCATGAAATTGTTATCAAAATTGAGCATAAGTATCAAAGGGTAATGTATACCTTGGTGGGATTTTGGGACTAAATTCTTCAGAGTATCAACTTTGTCATTCAATTGATGTCTTTTGTGCTTTTCGGTAGCAAAATGTTTAGTGTATTTAACATATCTTCCATTTCCAACGATTCCATTAATCTCTCCAATGAACTTTAGAATCCTATCTCTTTCATGATAAAATTGATGAAGGTCTCCTCTCACATCTTCTCTCTTTATATCCATATCCCCAAAAATCGACCCACCGCAAGTCAAGTTTACCCCTTTGCAGATAATGAAGCAATTCTTTGAAGAATAGAGGTGTGGAGGGAGGTTTAATGGAAGTAATGTATCATACAAGTTTTAATCCATGTGGGTCGAGTTTGAGAAGGAGATTGTTGAGTTTGAGCATCCGGGTAACTGGAAAAGGCATGTTTATGAAAATAACATAAAGCCACAAGCAATTTCAATATGCCTTAGTTATCTTAAAGAAATTTAGAGATTTCAAATAGATTTAGACTGTTACCTTCAATTCTATAAAAGTGGGTTAATTCACAGTCCTTGCATATGTGCAATGTAAGAAACCAATGAAATTGGGCCATCTCCGACCACCATTGCCTGGTGATGCACCCTCGTTGTGGTCGTCTTCTTTGGTCCTACAACCGGCTAAACAGGAGCCACTTTGGCTCATACTTCATCTCGTTACTCACACACACACACTCACTCTCTCTCTCTCTCTCTCTCTCTCTCTCTCTCTCCATCTAGCTCACTTTCTCTTTATCTCGTACCTCATTCCACGATCGAACACAAGATACATCAACGTACATCGCAACCTATAAGTTTTCTGTCTCTCCTTTCCCTTGTTTTCTTCTTCGATACGTAGATATAGCATACCTTCGGTTAAAAGATTATGTGAGGAAATGAGGGAGAGAGGGTATGGGGGTACGAGTAAGGAGAGGTGGGGTAGGTATTTTTATTTTATTTTTTAGGAGAAAATTAATTAAGGAAAAAAGATAAAATAAATTAAAAGGTTAAAAATGTCATTTTATGTGGTTCATAGACCATCAATAAAAGTTTTAGGAACCACATTATAAACGAGAGGGGCCATTTTTATAATTTTTTTTATGACCATGGTTCAGTAATCATCATAGTCTTTATAGGCTAATAGTCTTTGACTTTTGGTCTTATAGATATATAAACACACTAACACACAACACAATAAAATTGAAATGAGAAAGAATTTAACCTCAAAGTAAAGGAGTTGTACCCAAGTTCATAGCCCATGTGTCAGTGATCTTCAACTTTTTAGATTCTTTAAAGGGATAATGACTTAAAAGGGTAATATATTTTTCGATTTGTACACATTTGGTCACTGAGTTTTTTTTTTCGTGCACATTTACCCCTTTAACTTGTTAAACTGTATACATTCGGTCCTTATAACCGCCTACTCCAGGTTAGCCGGTAAAAATAACTTAACAGGGTAATATATTTCTCACTTTGTACACATTACTCCTTAATATTTTTGTACACATTTAGTACTTATGAATGATTTCTTAAGGTTTTTCTCATGACATCTAACGTGGGACAATCATTAATGAGGCGCTTGGGGCTTTTGATGTTTATGTCCATCGTGATCTCGACTACTTGGTTGCTTAGATCATGTGTTCTGAACTCCATAACTTCTTCATACGATCTCACTTTTTAACAATCTTTATATCCATGCATTCTTATTTTAGTCTACTACAACTTTCGTTTAGATTACTCCCGTTAAAAGGTAATATATTTTTACTTACGATCTTTATATCTATACGTTTTTTTATGAATGCATGTATGGATGTTTTTTTTATAAAATCGTAAGTAAAATATATTACATTTTAACGAGAGTAATCTTAATGAAAGTTGTAGTAGACTCAAAAAACGAACACGTAGATATAAAAATCGTGAAAATCTGATATCGTATGAAGAAGTTAAGACGTTCAGAACACAAGACCTAAGCTAAACCACAAGACCTACGCAACCAAGTAGTCGAGATCGCGATGGACATAAGCATCAACAGCCCCAAACACCTCATTAATGATTGTCCCACGTAAGATGTCATGAAAAAACCTAAATAAATCATTCATAAGTACTGAATGAGTACAAAAACCAAAAAGACTGATTTTGGTACAAAAAAGTATTAAGGACTAAATGTGTACAAAAATAATAAGGTCTAAATATGTACAAAATGAGAAATATATTACAGTATTAAGTCATTTTTCCCGACTAACCTGGAGTAACCGGTCATAACGACTGAATATGTACAATTTAACAAGTTGAAGGGGTAAATTTGAACAAAAAAATAACTTAGTGACCAAATGTGTAAAAATTAAAAAATATATTACCCTTTTAAGTTATTATCTCTTCTTTAAAGTACACACAAAGTCCAATACACGATATTTAGGTTTTTTTGAGGGCACCTACCTTTTATGTAATTGAGATGTTAAGGGCACCATAATTTTTAAAAAGACTCATCCGGTTATTTCATTTTACTATGTATATAAATTATTAGATCATTAGGGGCATGCGCCCCCACTCCCTTCTCCATAAATCCACTCGTGACTGGTGTGCTTACGGGTTTATAGTCTTTCACTTTGAACTTTTGTAAAAAATTCTCTACATACTTCTTTTGTTACACAAATAACCCATTTTTTCTTTGATTTACTTCAATTCCAAGAAAGTATGCCATTTGTCCAATATTTGTCATCTCAAGCTCCATAGTAATCACTTGTTTCCGGTGAAGATCATGACATATACATACAAGAACACCATCATAATATTTCCGCTTTGATTTCCTTTTTTATATAGTACATGTTCTTCTGGACATTTCACAAAACCATTCTTTTAGTAGTGCTCATCTATTTTTGTGTTCCATGCTCTCAAAGCTTGCTTTAACCCATATTAGACCTTTAATCAATAAAGTTTATCTTCTTGACATGTTTGAACATAATCTTGAAGTTTCTCAATATAGACTTCCTCTTCAAGATATCCATTTAAGAATAATGAGTTCACGTCCATCCAACAAGTTTTCCACTGATTTTGTGTTATAATTATTGTCAAAAGTCTGATAGTATCAACTCTTTCCACTGGAACAAATAGTTCATCATAACCAATTTCATGTCTCTATTTGTAGCCTTTTACAACTAACCTTCCTTTGTAGTTTACCACTTTTCCTTTCTAATTGGTCTTTGTCTTTTAGAACCGATTGAGACCAATTGTTTTTTTTTGTCCTTTTGGAAGAGTTGTAAGCTCCCATGTGTCATTCCTTTTTATCGAACTATTTTCTTCATCTATAGACTTACTCAACTTGGTTTCCTCTTTAGTTTCTCCATATGTTACAACATTCAACCATCACTCATAACAATGAACAATAAAATAGAGTAACAATTGGGTTTGTTTCATCATAGGCATCATCTAGACTTCTCATTTTTGGTGGTGCTCCCCCATAAATGTCGCTACATCTACTACTTTGTGATGTCGATGGTGCTGATGTAGGAGTTGTTGGATTAGGACTTCTAGAGGAGTATGATGACCACTTTCATCATATGGTGTGTTGAAATTATCATTATCATCTTCAAAGGAGCCTTTGGTCGTAATGAGTTTATGAGGATCATAAACTTAGTCTTGACCCTTCAAAGGACCTATCTTGAAATTTCATCTCC